GCGGTTCTCGCTCACAATGGAAGCGGCGTTGAGCGAGCGCGGGGGGGGGGGGGCTCACGCTGCCATCGCGGCGTGCGTGGATGTCGTCTGTACGTTTCCCTTTGCCGCTCACACACACACACCTCTCTCTCTCGGTAGCCGTCGGCTGTGAGGATGAATAATTATGAAAAGGTAACCGAGAGCGCTTCGTCAATCCACTGCTGGATTAAGGGCACACGCACGCTGCGTATTTGGCGATGGTTGTTTTGACCATACTTCACCATAATGGTCAGTGTGGGTGAATTGGTTGGGGGTGAAGGACGGGCGGACCGGTGCAGCGATTGCTTGCCATCGGCCGGGGTTCTCGCACCGCGCTATGAACCCGGTGACCCGAGTTGGATTCCAGGACGTGTCTAACATCGGTGGCAAGTGACGGCCGAGCCGGTCCTGGGCATCCCCCCTTCACCAACCCGAGAATTGTCCAGCGTGGTGAAGTATGGTCAAACAATCCCCCATGACTGACTAGACGCGGGCAAGCCTTCGTTCCAGCAGCGGATCGACAAAAGGGCCGTACATTATAATTCGTTATTTCATTCGGCTTATTTGCGCGGCAATGGCATGAACTGTGAACCGCTTGCGCGTGCGTGGCGACGCAATCGAGCCAAATGCCTGCAAGTAAATAATTGCAACGGAAACGAGATATATCCCCGGTGTGTTTGAACAGCAGCGGTGCATTTGGAGAGGTTTTGCAACGGGACTGCTACCTGCGTTGTGATTTATTTAGGAACGCACATCGATGGTGTCCGTAACTTGGGGGGGGGGGGGGGTAAGTAAACGGTTAAAAGAATAATTACTCTCATCACCAGCACTCAATCGCACGCAGCGCACGCACGCGCACAAAGACCCCCCGCATAGCCTTCGAACACTCTCAAGGGTTCTTAGCGCAGCGCACCAACCGCAACACTACCACGCCTCCCCGCACAAAGCCACACGCACAGCGCCACGTGAATAGGACCCCCCCCCCTCCCATCGCACCTCACCACCGCCCCACCTCCCACATCACTCACCCACCCCCCCACGCCTAACAGCCCCCTCTCAACGCTCACCACGCGACACGCCTGTTCACACACGGCACCCCCATTCTTCGTCGCAACTCAACAACAGCGCACGTGTGCGGGCACACACACACACACAAACGGAGCAAATCTTTTCAGAAGTTGCGTCTATGCCTCTGGCATAGGAGGGGCGCATGGACGGGGTGGGGGGGCGGGAGGCTGGGAGGTTGGCGAGTTCAGAGGGGGCGGCTATGGAAACTCGCGCTGTCAGCTGTCTGCCAGCGCTGTCCCGCAGCGTCTCGGGGGCTGTGTTTTACGATCGTCTCCCCTGTTTATTTTGGTCTCCGCTTGCGGACGATTTGTTTTGCACTCAAGGCAACAGGTCACACACAAACGGACGCGTTCAGCCACCGTACAATACATAAATATTTTACACGCAGTCCGTTATTAAATCGACAGGATTATGCATATACCATTTTACCAGCGAAGGGTTAAAATAACGGGCCCACATCTCTTGCGCGTGTGCACAGAGGGACGGTCGATCCACTGCTGGATTAGGGGGCCTCGCCACGCCGGAGTTTGTGTGTTGGAATAGGGTAGGGAGAGCACGGATTTGGGAGTGTCGAAGTACAGTACAACAAATGGATTCTGTTGTGCTGTTCTCCGCTTCCAAATACCTTGTCCCGAACGCACGCGGGATGCGTTGGCGGTCGCCAATCAGGCACGGGCCAGGCATGAGCCAGGCACCGTCCCACTCGGCATTCCGGGCGATTAGCTCCTGCGCACGGTGCCCCGCTAAACGCCGATTGAATCCCCTCTCATCCTCCGCCCTTCCTCCTGCTCCCCCCCACCCCTCAGCCATCCCACCCTACCCCATCCCCCACGCGACTCAATCAGCCATCACTCGTAGATATGTTCTAAAATTCATTACGGGGAGACGTGATGATTTTATTACGCCATTAGCGAAATAAGTTGGATCAATTTATCTTGCCGCTTCGTTCATAAAAACCAAAGCGGTGCCAAACAATATGCCTCGCCACTGTGCTTCGCAGGCTTCGGGGCCTTGGCAATTAATCATCTTAAACGGCTGTTGCGCATTTCTCCGGCACGACCGCGTAGCGGTGGTGGCGGTGGCAGTACCGGCGTGCGAGCCAAAGCCTTTTGGAAGCCGGAGGTTGGCGGATCACACGGATTACGTCGTCCGTTCACGAGGATCTCAACATGCCGGGCTTGCGAGGTGACTAGTTAGATGGCAGTCTGGCGGCGAAGAGTGGGCCTCAACCAGCCTATGATTAAATAATACATTCTAGCCGTGCTCGATCTACCGACGGTAATGGAGAGGTGGTGGACAGAACCGGTTCTGATATTCAATCGCCAATGTATGTTGAATTTATATCGCACCGTACGTAGTTAACAGTGCTAATCGGAGGTGCCAATCATGTTAGCCGTGAACTAGGAATCGAACTCTGATCCATGGGGTCTGTTGGCACCCGAGCCCACGATGCCACCGCACCACCCCATACCAAATCCCCCATCCCCTCCCCCGGCTTACGTGACATCTCTTAAAAATTGGGCCGACGGTGAAAATCATCCTGAATATGGCCTGATCTTGTTGAGATCTCGAAAGCCAAGCAGGATTGTTTTGTTTTGTTTGGAGCCTGGGTGAGCAGCTTCATTGGAGGGACCTGCCCTGGAACGCTCAGCGGCGTTCTCTCGGGCTGCGAGGTGGCCAGGACGGTGGCATGCCAGAGGGTCCCTCGAATCCGTCATGCACGGGGTACAAGGTGTTGTGGGTCAGCGGAGGGTAGCACACAGCAAAATCCATTGTTGTACTGTACTTCGACGCTCCCACGTCCGTGCTCCCGCTGCCCTCATCCAACGAAATAAACTCCGGCGTCGCGCACGGCGCGGGGAGAGGACCCCCCCCCTCATCCAGCAGTGGATCGACCGTCCCTGCGTGTACACACGCAGGAAATACGGGCCTGCTATTTAACCCTTCTCCCCTATAAAACGTACGTGTGTGTGTGTAATTCCGTCCATCCAGCATCCTCCAACGTGAACAAGCCAAACACTCAATTCGGACACAATTGGCCAAACACCCCGGGGGTGGAGTCGGAAGCGCGGCAAGTTGTCGAGAGGAGTCGGGCGAGAGGCTCTCTCCCGGGTAAAACCAAAGCCACTGTTATCGCAACTGTCTGCGAGTTATTTCCCCGAGCACTGCAAGATTTCCTCCAAAACGCAAGCACTCGTTAGGAAGGGATTTGCCATATAACACGACACTGGATCCTCTTAAACGGAGTCCTGATGCTCTGAAAGGCTTTCCGGTTCGTTGCGAGCACCTAATCTAATGTATTACTACTGTACAGCTGTCCGCCACCACCGTCACCACCAAAGACATAGATCCACCCCCCCTATAGCCTTCATAGACTGTTGGGGCGAGTGCTGTTAGCAAGCACCTAAGAAGGCCGCCATGGCACACGAGGGGGTGGGTGACCAGCAGCACGCCCGGCCGTCTTCGTCTCCCCAGTGGCGATGTTTAAACATCGCACCAGGTACTCATTTCAGGCCGAATTGACCTAGGGGAGGCCCAGGAAGAGGTTCAGATAATTGTCCGTGGCGTTGGCCGTGACCGGAAATCGAACCCGAGTCGCCGGGTTCGTAGCGCGACATCGTCACGATTCTGGATTACGGTTCTAAGATCGGTTGTGTGCAGTTTTGTTGAAACCGTTCACGAGTTTTGCTTGCACCGAATCGATGCTGCTGACAATATGCACTCCCAGAAGGCCGTAGGACCGATGAGTTGTGTAAAAAATAAAACTTTTATATTTCATGCAGGAAAGACGGAGATGTGAGGGAGACACGTTGCTGCCGCCTGGTCTCGTTTCTTATTTATATCCCCCACATCCACGCCAATTATTATTCTGGTTTCAATGTTCCGTCTCGTATAATACATCTTCTGTATTCCCCTTTCACGCTTCCTTCCCCCCGCACCTCCAATTAGTGAAAGAAGTTCAACGTACATACGTAACATCTTGCCACCGTGGCGCGTAACTACCTCGCCAACTACCTTTTTTTATCCTGACGACGATTGCTTGTTTTGCGATTGAAACGTCGTAGTTTGTTATTTTCTTTGAACCTATCGACGTGACTTCACTGAAAGACCCAAGAATATTAATTCCTGCAGTCACAAAAGCTTTAAGTTAAGATTTACCTTGCGCCTGGTCGCGTGGATTTTCTCCGGGTCCTCCCGTTTTTCTCGCCCCACATTTAGAATCGTGCGTTTGATCAGCTGCTGTACATTTCCACGTGACGGAAACACTTTCGTCGAGCTAGAATTTTTGGCCATGTCGCTTCTGAAAAACAGCTATATAACCGAGTAGGCCTTACCTTGTAAAATAAAAATTTAATGTTGCTTCGTATCGTATAGTTCAGACATACAAGCTGAAGTTACATTCGCATCACGCGTGCATCGTTTACCTCCTAAACACGTGCTCTACGGAAAAAGCGCGACGAGCCTGCGTACGGCATCGCCGAGCACGGGACTCGTGTTTTCCACGGGGGTGCTTTTGCCAGGGCTGACAATGAAAGGGCTCATATTCTTAGGTTTTTTCGGTAAAGTCACGTAGGTATCAAGTAAGAGAAATTCCAAGAAAACAGTCCTTGTATATATACTGGTTGAGGGTGGGAGGAGCCAAGGTAGGCCCTGGATATTATTATTGTAAGGTTCGGTGCGGCTGAAGCACGCTGTTAGGAATGAGCCTTTGTTGTGTAGACTGTGACGTTACCGAAAAAAAACCTAAGAATATGAATCCTTGCAGTCACGAAAGCTTAAAATCTAGAATGAAAGCGCTCCACCACCGAAGCTAAAAAAGATATAATAAAAAGACATTTAAATAAAAATTTTCAAACGCTTTCCACGTGGAGTTTTCTTAAACACGTGTGAGTTTTCTCCGGGCACGTTCTCACCTTCCTTGAGCATGCCCACGGTGAGGCACTTCATGAAGCGGCACGCCTGGCACGACTTGCGGCGCCGCTTGGTGATCTCGCACTCGTTGGAGGCTGGGCAGCTGTACTCGATGTTTCCTGGTGGGCGCGGAGAGCAAAGGGCGGGCCCGGCAGGCGCCAGCGTGCACGCGGTGGGGGCAAAAAACACAGGCAGGTGAGCGAACAGCCGCGCCGGCGAAGACAAAGATCCACACGTATAGCCCCGCAGAGACCGTCAGGGGGCAAGTGCTGTCAAGCGAGGGCCTACGAAGGCCGGGCTCGGCACACGAGGCGCTGGTGTCGGCAAGCACCACGGCCGGGCCCGCCCTTTGTCTCCCGAGCGCCGAGTCGACCCAAAACATGGCCAGGAATGATTCGGATATCACCCGCCTCTGATGTTATCAGAATGAGAAACTTTACTTGTCCTGGAAGAATCCGATGAGCTATGAAGCTCTTTTTTCCGCAGACATTAGCCACGACCGAGAATCAAACTCAGGCCGCCGAGTTCACAGCGGTCACCGATGCCGCGTGGCGAGCGATGCCGCGATTTCGTACTGGTGCACCGACGGAACGTCTCGGCGAACAACGCTGGACGCAAACGTACCCCGTGGTATTAAGCGAACAGCGACCATAATAGCCGCCGTTCGCCACTAAGTGGCAGTGATGTCACCACGGCGGCTGTGCCAGGCCAGGTGCACTGTGAGGCCACGTGAAGTGTCGGTGGCTCGCTGCTGGCAAGGAGGTCGTGGGACAGACCCAGGTGCCATGAATGAGATGGACTGGCAGATGCACCAGCTGTGCCTCCTGCTGTGCCAACTTGCTGCATTTTAGCTGCCCGGCGCTCCGCTCGTTGTTGTGAGCATCGGTCCTTTGCCCTCCATTTTTGTTGGAGGGTGACTGCCGCCAACTGCCCAGTAGTGTCCTTCACGAGCCTCCTCTTCCACAACGACCGATCTTGACACTACTGGTAAGTCAACATCCTCCTGTGCTGCATAATTCCATCACTTTTCCATCCCACGACGTGCCCGTTTAGCCCCCTCTACCCGGCCAAACAGAAGCTGCTTGGGCATGCGGTGGCTGGGCATTCGGGCTACGTGACCCAGCCAACGCTGCCTTGCCTGTCAGAGGAGCTCACCGATGGGACTGTGTCCATTAAGCCCTAAAGCCCCATCGCCACCCATCCCCTCCGTGTGTTCCTCTGACGCCCCTCAGAAATTAGGGTGAAGCGTGCCAACTATCCTTGCCGGGTGCCGCCCTCGTTTTCGCGGGTTGGCAGCGAGTGGCCACCCTCCCTCTGTCCTCATGGCCGCACTCATCCCCATCCCCTCGCTTGCTCGCACACACGCATTCATCTGATCCGTCACGTGCTTCGTCTACCCGGCCACCTCTGTCCCAGCATACATCGTCACATTGTGGCATGTTCTGGACAACCGCCAGCTTTGCGGTTGAGTCGTCCGTAAAATCGTGGTCTCTGTCTCCGTGTGTGGCCAATTAGGGACAGGTGTCATGGGGGGGGGGGGGGGGGAAGGTTCTCCCACCCCCTAGGCTCGTGAAGTGAAAATTATAGCAGAGCATCGGAACGACTGAAATGAGAAGGGTCGGAAGGCGCTTTGAGATGCTGGGTCATTTAAGTGCCCGATAAATACGGCGCTTTATAATGGGGTTCTCCTTTGGTCGCAGCACCCAGTGTGTCCAGCACCCGCGGTCATTTGTTCGGCGTTCTGTCCACGACAACTCGCAGCGAACCGCATCGCAGGCTCTCCTAGCTGCCGTTTTGCGCTGGCAATAATGCAACCGCAGCGTGCAGCGGAGCAGACGACGGGAGCGCACAGTCGACCGCCCATCCAAGACCAATGGACGACGGCGGACACCGAAAAAAAAGCGCCGCCGACCGGTTCGAGGGCCTTAGGCGGCAGCGTGACGCCGCACGTTTTCGCGAGCGCGCGCCGGTCAGCAATCAGAGGCGCGGGTTTTCCCCGCGTCGATCGTTTCCTCCCAAGGGGATGCCCCCCCCCCCCCCCCGCTGCGGCAGGTTGCGTGGGGCAAGATTGAGGGAGGAGCAGCCACGTCACCAAAACTCGGAAAAAGCTCGTCTCTCTCTGTCTCTCTGCAACGCGCCAAACGAAGGCGGCGGAGGAACGGACGGCAGCGCTCGCCGAGTCCCCGGCCCCGTCTCGTGCGCCGCGGCGAGCATAAAGCTCTCAAGCGGCGCGCAGAAAAAAAATAAGAAAAAACGAATCGCTCAGACACACGCCGCAGTTTGCGCGCTGCAGACACATTGAGACGGAGTGCGGGCGCGGCGGCGTGAATTATTTAAAAGGGGGGGGGGGGGGTTCCCGCTTTTATGAGCTGTGCATTTAATAAATCAACCGTGGCGCCGTGATGTTTGAGAAGCCTCCGCCCGGCCCGCCGCCGCCGCCACCACCGTCAGCCCAGACTTTACACGCGCGCCGATTGCACGCGTGCATGTGCGCGCGTGCGTGCGAGCAAGTGTATGCGCACGCTGCTGCTGTACAAAGATTGGCAACGAGCAGTGGACTTGTACGGAGTTCACAGCCGGGCTGTGTGTGTGTTTGTCTGTGCTTTGCAAGTGCGGGCACACACACACACACGTGGTGTGCGAGGTGCGTTGAGGAATGTCTGGCCAGGGGATAATTGAAAAGTCGGGTTTGCAAAGCAAAGGGTCCAAAGGCCAATAACGCCATGCAGCCAGGAGCAAACAGCGCTGTTGATTGTGCGATACATAAAAGTGAATGTTTCTTTGCTTGACCTAGGGAATTCCAAAGTGCAGAGGAGGTAGGAGGAAAGAAGCGGGGAGCTAGCAGAGTGTTGCGAGCTGCGGTCGGGTGGAGACAAAGCCGTTGGGTCTGACGGACGGAGGAGTGAACGTGCGTGGGCACGCAGTGGCGTGGGTGGCATGGGCCCTGGTGCAAGGAATGGAATGGGATGGGGGGGGGGGGGCCCTCTGGTCAATTTCTCCACCCCCACCACCCTACTCCACCTCCTCTTCATAGCGCGGGTGTCAGCGCCCCCCTGGTGCGGTTGCGCTGCCTGCACGCTGGACAGTAGCAACGCCGCGAGCGTGTACACACACGTGTGCCCTCTCATCGTGTGCCCTCTCGCTGTGTGCCCTTCGAGCTGTCGAGTATTTTGGGATACCGTTCCACGCCAGCCGGCCAGACGACGAGTTGGAGAAGGCGTGGAGGACCCCCGCACCTCGTCCGCGCGCGCGCGCGTGTGTGTACCTGCCGATTGTGACGGACTGTGAGCATTACCCATCTATGCCGCCAGGTGGACCAGAGGCGGTGGTGGGGGGGGGGGGGGGGGTGGGGGGAGTGATCTAAAAAACTTTCTCCGTTGATTTAACTGTCCTTGCCCCTTTGCAAACTCATTTCGAGAACTGCTTTTTGTGTTTAGCTAGTTGTTCTTCCTCCACACCTCCAATTACCTACATACCTACTTACATCAAAGCGGACAGGCGACCTCTGGATTACAAGTGCAGCGGCGCTGTCCGCTACACCACAGCAGCATCCTGTTAACATTAAAGGAGAATCTTGACTTGAAGCTTTCGCAACTGCAGGAATTAATACTCTTTGGGTCTTTCGGTAAAGTCGCGTAGATGGTTAAAAGTAAAAAGATCGCTTGTGTTGTGATCAAAACGTCGTATATTTTTTGTTATTTTCTTTGAACCATCTACGTGACTTTACCGAAAGACCCAAAGAATATTAAAGGCGAAGCTAATTATTTGTTATCTTTATTACAAAGGTGGCTCGAATAGCGACAGGGGGCGCGTCAAACGCCCGCAGGATTCGAGCAGGGGGCCTTACCCAAACGTGCCCCATCATCTCCTCCCCCTCCCCCACCCACCCCCTCCCTCCCCCACCCCCTCACCCTGGATGGTGCGCTTGAAGAACGCCTTGCAGGCCTCGCACGACGCCACGCCGTAGTGGTAGCCCGAGGCCACGTCGCCGCACACCAGGCACAAGCGCTTGGGCAGCGTGCTCAGCATGTACTCGCACTTGCTGGGCTGCCCCTCGTCAGCCGCGGCCGCCGCGGCCGGGCCACCCCCCAGGCCTCCGCCGGGCTCGTAGCGGGCGGGCTTCCGCGAGCCAGGCGTCGCCGTCGCCGGGGGCGCGGGCGGCGGGGAGTAGAGGGCGGCCGGCGCCTGCAGGAGGTGGGCGGGCGTCGGTGAGCCGCTGCCGTGCCGCGTGTAGCTGCCGCTGCTGGCGTCCGAGAGCTCGCCGGGGCTGGGCTGGCTCGCAGCGTCGCCCAGGGAGCCGGGGCTCGACGGCTCCGTCTTGATGTAGGCCGAGAGGGGCCCGTCGGCGGCGCTCACGTGGTGATGGTGGTGGTGGTTGTTGTTGTGGTTGTTGTTGTGGTGGGGCGGGTGGTGGTGGTGGTGGCGGCTTTCGGACATCCTGCCCAAGTATCTGTCGCGGGAAGAGGGAATGAAGGTGAACCATCAACATTGTGGTCGCTGTTGCGTACACCTTGTGCCGCCACAGGGACAGCTGACACTGGGGGTCCCCCTTGGCTAGACTGCCGGAACGGCTTGGAATGGTTGAGATGCGACATTGAGATATGATAAATCCAATTCGCTATCCTTAGCATCAGCCATGATCAATCCCCCAAGACATCACCATTCCTCTCTTAACTAAACGATTAAACTATTTTTATTTTTACCAGGTAAGGAAGGTCGACCAAGCTGCTATACAGCTCTTGTTTAGAAGCGGCCTGGCCACAAATAATAGCTCAACTTAGTGGCTTATCATCATGTGGAAATGTACAACAGCCGATGATCTCTAAACGCGTGATACCGATTTTTAAATGTGGAGGGAATAACCGGACGACCCGGAGAAAAACCCACGCGACCACGGCGCGAACAAGCAAACTCTCGCCACCGTGGCGTCCCTCTGGATCAAATCAATCTTTATTTTACGTGCCAATATCACCCTCAACGAAGCAGGAGTCGGTGCACGATGTACGCAAAGTAAACAAATATCTTCCGCCGGCACAAGTAAACAGACTCGACAACGTGTTTTCCAGCATCGTCCCTCCGCCGGCAGCTCCACTGTCATTTTCCGTCGTTCATTTCGAGCGGTTGCTGAAAAAATGACTTAATCGTCAGTAAATCCCACGGTCCGGCAAACTCGAGCGCGCAAAACGAAGAGGGGATCAAATTGATCGACGAGCCGAACGCTGCGCTAATGTGAAATCCTCGAAGATTCATTGACATAAACGAAAAAAAAAAAGACGTAAAAATAAATATATAGACACACACACGTGTCGGATCTCATCTCATGCGAACATTTGAGTGACACAGAACAGGAAGTGGAGAGAAGAGGCATGGCATAACAAGCCACACAGGGACCCATAATCAGCACCGTCATCACACTGCCAAAACATGAACGCAGTAGTTTTTTTTCCACGCCGACGGTAAAAGTGGTCACTGTGCTGCAGTGGAGGAGGACTCTCCGGCACAGCGCCCTGGCGCCCTTGCGTCCATTCGCCCGGGCCGAGAGCGGATTTCGACGACGGCTCCATCGCAGCACAGTCCGGCGTGGGTCGTCAGATCTATCGAGGCGACGTTCTGGGCCTTCGTAGCTGACGCGTTCCGGGTGATGACGACGGTGTACGTACGCGTGCAAGTTGAACGTAGCCAACCGCGCTAATCAGAGGTGCGGGATGATGACGAGGATGATGACGATGATGATGACCACAACGATGATGATGACGACGCACACAGCAAATAAAGGACAAATTGACATGCTAATGTCAGAGCTGTCGAAAGCGCACGACGCTATAGAACGTCTAGCGGGGGGGTGTCACCGCCACCTTTCGCCACCTCCCGTCAAGATTTCACGACGAACCGTGACGGCGGCTCCGTTCGCCACCGACGGAGAACACGGGGCGCCGAACGGCCACGGCCGCCTTCCCACGTAAGACGGAGCCTCAACAAAACCTGGCACCCATCGGGTCAACGCCCACCGGGGGTCGCGGGCAAACGATCCTCACCGGGAGTCGAAGTCAGGCCTCTCACGGTCTGAGACCCGCCGCGTTGAAGACCGAGAGCTTTGCGGACGCGATGCGCATTTGGCCCTTAATCGCCGAAATGTTAATCAATTACACAGAGAGCCCTGTTACACCAGCGGCGTGTATTAAAGGTAATAAATTCTCATTTGGCTGTTTTTAATTCGGAGATTATTTTTCTGTACTCCACTTACGGAGAACCACACGCGGGCAGAGGAAGTCCTATTTCTCCGTGTCGTGTGCGTGCGAATCTTTCTCTTCCCTTCTCTCGTAAAACGCGGACACTGTGCCAACCGGCTTGTTGCTGTGCAATTTAACACGCGACAAATATTATCCATAAGTTTTTTTTGGTGAGATCGTGGAAGTATGTGTCATTAAATGGGCCAATTAGTAAGGTTTGCCACGTAAACGAAACGTCACAATAAAACCCACAACATTTACAATTCGTGTACCGTGGCGTCTCGCCGGTAAATTACAACCAGCCTCATCAGGCGACAGCCAGAATTGTGGCAACATCCTCCCCTTTCCTGTTCCTTGCAACGCACGCGAGTGCATTCAAATGCATCAATTCAATCAGTGACGCTGGCCAGGCCGGACGGAGGGCTCTCTGGAAAATCTGATGCCAGATTAATGTGGCGTTCAGGTTAATCCCCTATTTATCAAACCTCTACACTGGGCGGTGAACCCTGCAGCCTGGTGGAGCCGGCCAATGGAGACTTTCGTCTATGTTTGGCAAACCAAGGATAGGAGCGTGGGGGAAGAAGAGGCGGCCAACATCGTAGATACTTTGGAGATACATTAGCGGTCCTTAATGTGTCCGGGCTCCTAATCCGATCCAACTTTCTCTGCCCACTGCGTCGGGCCGGCCCCTTCCCCCTCCCCCCCTCCACATTTGAGCGGAAATCTGATAAAGTGCATTGCGCTGAGCGCACGTTCGGCAAGAACGCCGACGCGAGAGCGGGGCAAGGCAACGGTCGTGCAGGAGGTGGCGGGAGTCGCGAACACAAAAAAAACGAACACGAGACGCCGTGGATGCCAAGAGTGACGCACGAGAGAGAGAGGGGGGGGGGCGAGGGCCCCCCCCCCCCCCCCGTTCCGGCTTGTCGAAACTCAAGACTTCACGGCCACAGTCAAGGAGACCGGCCAATTAGCGAGACGCCGAGCGTCGGCGCAGACCCGTCAAATCAAAGCGGCTTTCATAACCGATCCTGCAACCACAGGATTGAGAATGTACGTTCGTACGTACGTGTTGAACTTGTTTTGCACCACCGTACCGTAGCCAATCGTGCAAACCAAACACAGAAAGCGGTTCTGAACAAATGAGTTTACACTATAAATGATGTAAAAGCAGATCCTACCGAGTTAGAGAAAAATCTCTTTCAGATGCTCTTATGCGGCTGTCTGGAATGCTCTTCCGATATTAGGAAGCCGCTGGAGCTATGCACTTCTAAATCATCTAGATTGACAGCTCATTTCTATAGAACTGCTTTTAGTGTTCGTTGTGCTTCCCCACCGCACTTCCGATTACCACGGTTGGCTACGTAGGGTGTGAAAGAAGTTCAACATACCAACACAATTCAACGGTGAATTAAAAAAAATCTAATTCACTTTCCCGAAGACGCTCCCTCCCGTGCACGCAGGGCGAAACGTCGGGGGGGACACGGTGCCGGACAACGCGACCGGCGGGCGAGACGAGGCAGAGCAGTGCAGCACAACCGCGAACGAACACCCGCGTGGGGACAGCGCGTGCCGCTTTAAGAGCCCCGCGGACTCCCATCCAGCACCCACGTCTCTTAAAACCACCAAAAACAATCTCCGGCAACGGCCCACCAAGGCTGCAACTGCCATTCGTTTCACTATCGGGGAAGCCACCTTCATGAATAATAACACGACACGCATTATACGGGCCGGCCCAGAATTAACCTACGGATGACGACGACGACACCGAGAAAGCGAGGGGGTTAGCGAGCGAGCGCGAGCGAGTACCGGGCTCCCTATGCCGGAGTTACGCCGTTCTTTCCGGCGCGCGTTTCGGCAGCGTCGGCCCGTTGCCGGCGTGTGGCGAGCAGAGCAGGGCAAACAAGCAGGTTCACACTCGGCAAGATCCGCGAGGGCACCGCTCGAACGATGTCCACCGTGACGCCAGGTCAGCGAGCCAGTGAGCTCCATCCCAGTTTTTCTGACCCTCCCTCCCTCCCTCAGCTGGACTCCATGGCGAATTAAGCGTCGCCTCCGCCTTCCTGCCGCTCCTCTAATGCGTTAATCACCCGCTCACATGTCCACCGCGATTACAAAACCCCGAGACGGAACTCACTGCCTGCCCAGCTGAACCAGAGGGGAGACGTTTACCGCCCCCCCCCCCCCCCCCCGACCTGCACTGTACGCAAAACGGATTCGGGAGCGCTGGCGGGAAATGCCGCGGCAATGACGAGACGCAACGCACCTTCGACCAAGACCACCGTAAAACGCGTGGCCCATTCCCGTCGGAACTCGGGAGGCTAAGCAGTTGCTGAGCCTGGTTAGCAATCGGAAGGGGGGGGGGGGAGACTGCGAAGGGAATGCCAGATGTCGTAGGGATTTGCTTGTGCGGTGGGGTCCAGATGGCAGTAGAGCAAATGTATTTCCTGAACCCATCTGTTGCTAAGCTTCGAGCGTCATCTCTGCGCGTGCGCGTGCGCGTGGGCTGTTCTACTCGTTGCCGTCTATTTTTTGTTATTTTGCCAGGTAACGCCCAACTGAGCCACGCAGCTCTCTTTTTCAGGGGCGACCTGGCCATCGTAAAATGATCGCTCAACGAAGGTGGCTTATCGCGTGGGAATTGTATCGCAGTCAAATGCTCTCTGCAAAGCAACGCCCATTCTGAATGAGGGGGGGGGGGGGGGAACCGGAAGACCCTGAGAAAAATCCACGCGACCACGGGAAGAGAGAACATGCAAATATACAGCGAGGGAGTTAACATCTCCTAGCCACCGTGGCGCCCCCAATCACAGCGAAGGAACCTGGCCCAGACGCTCCGGCAAAGAAGCACCAGCACCCTGTGATTCCGCGCGGGCTCTTCGTAGGTAAACGGCGAGTGGCAGCAGTTCCTGCAACTATTCTAGTAGCAAGCAAGTGGTGGAGGCAGGGCTGTCACTATTTTCCCTCCCTCTTCGTAGCCGTGGCGCTCTTTCACCCAGTGGGGACCCCCCTCCACCTCCCTGGTGCAGTTGCACCGCCTACACACCGCCGGCTTGCGAGCTACACCGACACCCAACGATTGCAGGGAAGTCACCCAGTTCGTCGCTATGTGGGGACGGGGTAGGATCACCATCCACCCTGGCCCGATTTACCCTGCTGCTGCTGCTGCTGCTGCTGCATCTGCTCCCAGTCTTCCTCTGCCTCCACCTCTAATCACAAGCAA